TGTTTGCCGCTTGTTGCATCCTGTCCAGCCTGGAGTGGTGGACATGGGGACGCGCGAGGGTGAGCAAGGAGTGATTGATCAAGGGCAGACGTGTTCGCAAGTGAACTCGGTTTGAATGATGACACGGCTATGACGATGGTGTCATTCTTCATCGATTACCGTTGACGCAGTTGGTGGCGCGATTTGATCCGCCCCTCATTCTGACGACGCCAAAGCACTGCAACGACGCCAGCACACCCAGCCAGCAGCTACGTGATCGGTCACTCACAGAAGCGTCAATGTTGCTCTTGTCGGACAGCGCAGCTCGTTTCGTGCGAGGGCCCGCGACACCGTTGACTGAGTCTGCCATCTTTCCGGGCAAGACTGCACTCGAAGAAGCACCGGCCATGCTCCCGTTGCGACCTGTTCTCACTCTGCTGGAAGCAGAGCTGCTGCTCCCTTCACCACGTACGGATCCGAATGAGCTGCCAACGCCTGTTGGACGTGTTCGTGACTGGGCCTGAATGAGTCAAGAGAATAGAAGGTGTGTATCAGCATCCTCGTAGCCGCGCGGAAGGGGAGGGGGGGGGACAACCAGCTAGAGGCTCAGGGGAAACCCGTGCGACTGTGGGTCCGCTGTACTCTTTGCTGCGATGCAGGAGCGATAAGCAGCTCGCACGTCTTACTCACTCGTGAAGCTGGTTGAGCCATGACGGTGGGGCTCTTGCTTGGTCCGGTATCGGTGACCAAAAGCCTCGACTACACTGGCAGAGAGATGGCGGCAGAGCTCGAAGGGCGCAATACCTAATCGGGGAGTGACCAGAGACCTCTGGCGGTGCGTTGATCGCGTCGAGCTGCTCCTGATACCGAGACTGGAGCTTAGGCCGATTGAGGACGACCGGAATCAGAGATGCTGAATGTGTGCGCCCGATGCTGAGACGAGTCGAGGAAACGGCTTTGGCAGCAGACAAGAACCGGCACAGAAAAGTGCTAGGCCTTGCTCGAAGAGGGAAGTGGCGGATGTCTGCGCGCTTTTCAGCGTCCTGCAAGAGCAGACGAGATTGCACCGTTGGGCGTCTCTTTTTGGATTTTCGGACTGGATTCAAATTGAAAACCCTCTCTCTCTGCCCCAAGGCCACTTGATTCAGGCAGCGAGACGGAGATCTGGCCAAGGATGTGAGGAGGCAAGCGCAGACTACGGCTGCGCTGCTGCGTGTTGGGTTGTCGGTAGTTGCCTGTGAGCGCACGTCTGACCGATCGCGAGCAAATGCTGTCGAAGACGAAGGTGAAGCACGAAGAGCCAGCAGACAAACGAAGTGGCGAGCAAGAAGGCGAAGCAAAGGCAAAAGAGGAGCGGAAAGGTGGTATCGGAGTTGATGCGAGGGGGTCGATGAGGGATGGAGGGATGAGGATGAGGGGCGAGGGAAGGATTGAAGAGGAGGATGGAGAGAGAAAAGGAGGCTGCAGTCAACGTTGAAGCCTTTTGTCGAGATGAGTTGAATGGCAACTATCACGGCTCATCCACTTCCTCGCGCAAGCCGAGAAGGGTGATGACGAAAGTCCGATGGGGAGCGCGTACCCCTGGGACGAAGTTGTAGAGATCGGTCGATCGGGGTGTAGAGCAAACCCAAAGATCGACGACCGATGCGGGCGAAGACAACGGGCTGGGTACAGTAGCGTGATGTGCGGCAGACGCAGGAGTCAGGCCTCGACTCGCCGTTGAGCGCAAGTGCGGAGAAAGAGGAAATGTTCCGAGCTGTAGAGGTTGGGCAGAGCTGAGCTCTATCTGACTGTCTGCACTCTCCTCGTAGCGCCTTCTTTCTCGCTCCGCTTCGTAGGCCAGTTTGATCGACAGTAGTCGTTGAGACGGACTGTGGATTGAGACACTTGAAGTTCAAACTTGCTGCGGTTCGGGTACAGCAAGTGCTGAGTATGGCAACGCTTATTGCGACAAAAGCCACGATGACGATATCGCCAAGCGAGAAATGGCGACTAGCTGAGATTTGGCGCCCGGTGAACCTCGGATGCCGGGCTCTCGAAGCTGTGCAACGCAGGGGCAATGCTTGGTACAGACAGAGAGGGGGTTGAATGAATATGCTCTCCGAGTCTCTGAGCTGATGCCTGCAAAAGCGTTGGGGGAATGCGGGGAACAAGACGGTTGGGCGACCTGAGCTGAGAACGTTGAAAGGCGCGTTCAGCGTGCCGACGACAGGGACAGGTGCAGTGTGGATCTCGGCTTGTGTCGAATCGTGTTTTCTCAGACTGAGGCACGGCGGGAGCTCTTTCTCTGGAAGCGGTCGAGTCGGTTCTGTCTGTCGGTTGGTACCGACCGTATTGGTGATTGGCGCTTCTGGCAGTTGGTAGGAGGTGCAGAGCTGAGGAGGGACGAAGGTTGGGCAACCAGCAAATGTTGCGCGACGCACGCGTTTCAAACGGGCCGCTCGCTGCTCAACGCTGTTCGATCGAGCAGCAGCAGCAGCAGCA